CCTGTTGCTTTTTATAAATAAAACTTTAAAACTCATTGGTTCTCTTCGTGATTCCGCATGTTGGACAAAAGACTTCAAACCAGCATGACTCTACTGTCTTTATTTGTTCTGCACTTGTTTCTTTTAATGTTTTTTCTCCTTTAACATTTTCCTTCTATGATTTATTGGAAAGTTTCTGCAAACATTTGAAACATTTTTGGATTGAAAAAAATTAAGGTAAGTTTTCTCAGACATCTGAAAACATTGCAACTAGGCATTTTTTTGTATACTAAACTGCTACAATGCTACAATGTTTTCCAGCAAGGCTTCCTCTGGTTTTCAGGGGTTTTCTTTTATTGACATAGAAATATGTATATACACATTAAATGTGCAGTGATGTTACATTACATTTTTTTTAAATGCATACACCATTAACTTAATCCAGTTGCATACAAAGTTTTTTTTTTTTTTCAGAAAATAAATAATATAAATAAGAAATATTAATGAACAATATCATAATGTTTCTAAAAGTAAGGAGATTATATACCAACACCCATTTATATGATTTGATTTCTTTTTTAAAACACAAAAAAATCCTTTTATATAATTTAAAATCTGTTGATATGTAAAACTTCTATTTCTGGATGGAGAAACAATATTCTATCTTATGTTTTCTTAAAAAAAAAAGCAAAAGCAAAATTGACTTCTTTTTCCAGACAGCTCTAATTGAAAGTATGAACTAAACAGAACCAGGCAGATCACTGCTTCCTGACTAAAGAGTGTGAACTTTCAACACCTTCAAAAGGCTTGGCAGAGATATAACTTCCATGCTGCATTAAAAAGGGTAAATAAATGAGGTCTACCTTTGCCTTCTCTGCATGGTGATTTGGAGCGTCCACTTGAAGCGTCTCTCTTGCGTCCTCCTTTAAACAGCAGGTTAACAAAGGTCTTTGAGCGCTGCAGAGTGTTTCTCTCCTTTGACTGCTTTTCTTTCTGCTTCTTCTTGTCTTTCTTCTGATTAATCTCTATGATGGAACATAAAAAATAACTTTTTGCATTTTTCCACATTCTGTTCAACATCAATACAAGTTTAACAATTATAAATATAAATCTGAAGGTGGGAAGATGAATGCTGAATTCTGGATGAAAACCTGTCAGAGACTCTAACAGGCCTGTGTCTGGGGAGGTTCACCTTCCCTTGTAAAGCAACACTGTAGAGGTGAGTCGCAAAAGAAATGAACAGCTGAAAAGGCTGACTTCATACACCTTTGTTTTAAAAAATATAAATATAAAAAATATAACCACGGATGTTTGGGGGACAGTGATTCGCCTACATGTTCTGAATGCTGCTGTACCATAAAGAATAAATTATGAACAGTTTAGTTTGTGCCTTCAGATCATTGCACATAGGAAGATGTTACTGGGATATAACAAAACAGAATATCTTCAGAACGGCTCCAAATGACACAAAACTAATATGGTTGAGTAGAAAATGATGTAATAACGTAAAATCAAGGGGCCAATGTAAAAAAAATGGTGTTCCCCTTTAATAATTTCATGGAAAGGGCCTATAGAAGGATAATGTTCAAAACTGTCTCTGAACAGACACCAGGTGGTTCTAAAAGCAAATGATTTAATTTGTGAAAAAAATGTAAAGTAACAAAAGATGCAAAACATTAAGAATCATGAAAGCTGGAATGATCTGTGAATTTGCCTCAAATGTCTACGTAGACTTTTCAAGTTTTTTTTTTTTTTTTTTGTTTAATGCAGACTGACCTGCTATGGTGACTTGGCTCTGCGACCTGGTGATTGGTCGACTTGGTCTGCTGAGCGCCAGGAGCACGGCTGTTTTGGCAGACTCCTTCCACCTCCTGCTCTCCTCTCCACGGATCGCCGTGTCTCTGAGAAGCGTGGTCGGTCCCAGACTGCGAGTGGTGTCTGACTCCATTCGCTGAGTGGAAAAATCCGTCTGGATGGCGGTCTCTGTTAGTTCTGACTCTGCCCTACGCATATAGAGTTACATAACCCAGTCAGTTTCCTTGTCAATTATCTGATAACTTCCTAATAGTTGATAATATTCCTTAATTTTTTTTTTTTTATATACTTCATTTTCTGTTTTTAACTAGTAATTTCCTTTATCTACTTATGTCCTGCAAAGCATTTTGAAATACTTTGTTAATAAATGCTGCTGTGCAAAGACACCATGCCTAGCATGCCTAACAGGTAAACTTTTAAAAACTTAAATCTAAAATGTTTAATATAATAATAATATTTATTTGATCTGAGCAAATGTCCAGCACAGGTCCAAATAATTTGACATCTTATTACCTCAAGGTCTACCTCAAGGATACGGCCTTGACCCCTTTCCAATCTATGTTTATTCTAATGTGTTTACATGCTAATGCTGTGATCATTTTGTTTTAAGTTAAAATGGCCTTTTTAAAATAAAAGTTATTTTTGCATCACACATTGAATTAGATTTATAGGGGCCACAAATAACCCATTTCGGTGTCGTTTTACCAGAGAACGTGCCTCAACGTAGTTGCTATTTTCTTTATAATTTAAACAACATTTTAAATAACTGAACTAAGGATCTTTGGGACCTCCAGAGGTTAAAAAACCTTTTCTAACGTTACATACTTCTGTCTCAGACTTATTTGCATTATTCCTTGATTTTCATGATGCTGTTTGTTCAGTAATGTTTTATGTCAAATCACCAAGCCCTTTTCCTAGTAAATCTGTGTTACTGTATGATTACAGGTGGACTCCATCTAGAAAGGCGAACAACTTTACACTTTATATCAAATCTTTCGAGTGAAAAGAATCTAAAAGCTAAAAAGAGAATATTTCAAATTTCCGTCAACATGTTAAAGTGAATGTGCCAAGTATTACCGTAGGTCCTCTGTGGAGATGCAAACATCCACCATGTCTGAACCAAACGGCAGGCTGGGTGGGAACATGACCTGAGACAGGCCGCTCAGAGAGCTGACCGGGGTCCCGGATGACAGAGAGGAGGTTGAGGAGTTGGAGTCTGAAGCCTGGGAGGAAGATGGCTGAGCACCGTTGGCCACTGAACAGAAGAGATCATTGGCGGTATGAGAGAGCATACAGCTTTATTCAAAACAACAGCAGTGTGTTTAAAAGAAAATAGTCTTCCTTAAAATAGCTTTATTGATGCATTGAGGGGGCAGCATATTTTGTTTCTATGTAAAACAAAATTAGCTTGAACAATTAAAATAAAAACAATAGATTTTAAGCAGTACATAAAGAATTTCCTTGAAATCATTGAACCACTAAGATCTGCTTCACATCTGTATTGAAATGAGTTGATTAATTAGAGGATGGATGGACCACGTTCTAAAATCCCTACACATTAGAAACCAAGGTATTCGGGCAAACTTTCCCAGACATCAGGCTGGTCATTAGTAAACATTAATCCTGTTTGCAGACGCTGCTTACTTACTGAGCCGCTTAAGGTCACTCTTGTGCTGAAAAATGCATTTCAAGGGTATTTCTTCTGTATTTAATGAAACAGATCCTTTAAGCTTGGT